AGAAACCTCAGCCACTCTCGTCATGGATGGGTAATTCCACAAGGTGAGTTGATTGTTCGGTGAACCATGGGAGGTCAATAATTCAGATTTGTTTTTGTCCTATAGCAATGCACAAACTTCAGAGCCAGCATCAATCGAGTTCAAGCAAGCACCGTTAACGGTGTTCCAAAACTTAACGCAATGATCATTGCAACCTCCACCAAAAGCCAGCAGGTTGCTCCGAGTTGGGCACCAGTCAACAGCCTTCACAATGGAAGTGTGGCTGCTGATCCTGTGAAGCCATTGACGTTGACGCGGATGGTCACGTGAGACAGGCATGCAGGCATCCCATATGTGCACTAGTTTGTCCTGCCCTCCAATCGCCAAATACCGCCCTGACAACACGGACCATTTAAGACTACAAACTCCACGCCGATGCCCATTATAGAAACAGATGAACATGTCATCCTTTCTAAAGTCATAATCAACAACAGTGCCATCAAATCTTCCGACCGTCAAGATTGAATTACTTCTCCACGCAAGTGACAACACAGGGGCCTGGTTCTCATCTTCCATCCCATCCACGACATGTCCTGTTGCTAGATCAATCAGGGATAAATCTGAATTGCCAAATGAGACAGCAAGAACTGCACAGTCTTGCGACCAGCGGATGCAAGTGATAGGTCCTTTGTCTTCTACGGGTTGTAGAAGCTTAGTCGACTCGTTTGCAGCGTCCCAGAGATACACTGCGTCCTCAAGGCCAATCGCCAACACATTATTGCTTCCCTAGTCAAGGAGATTCAAAATATTATCATCCAACAAGCCATGGATTACCAAAACCCTCTCTGGTTCTTTAGGGATTCGCCTCTACTGCTTCTTCTGCGGTCGAATGGGCTCATCAAACTGGGGCAGCTTGCTGGCCGGCGCTTCAGGTGCAGTCTTGAAAGCGAGGATACGAGACCTGTTCTTCAAAATGCAGTCATCAATAAGCTTTTGGTATGCCAACTGTATAAATCGGAAAGGGAACATGTTGTATTAAAAAAGTGAAGTTTCGCTCTTGCTTTGGCCAGCGTCCAACGTCGTTGAGAAAGCGAAGTTTCGCCCTTATCTTCGGCCAGCGACCGATGTTGCTGTAGCCACATTCCTAAGAGGCTCCACAGCCAATCATCTTCTTCACCGCGGTAGCCTTCGCTCTCTTGTCTTTGGCCAGCGACCAATGCTCTTGCTCTTGCTCTACTCATAGCAACAGCAATCGTAACAGTAGCAGCGATCTGCTCTTGCTCTACTCACGAAGTCTCTCGATTGTAAACAATTCTTTGCATCGATCCAAGATTGGTATCTTTATCAGGAGCACCATCTTGCGGGGGCATGAAAGAAGATAAGATTTCCCCAACTATATAAGGAAATCTCTCTATTCTATTGAGAAAAATCCTCTATTCATAAGAACAATTACTAAAGAAGCTTTATTGAAGAAGTGAAGAAGCTTTATTGAAGAAATGAAAAATGCTTTTAATACATTAATATGTTCCCTCTCCTATTTATACAAATTAGGAGAAAGGATTTCCCTCAACAGAATAGAGGATTTTTCTCAACAGAATAGAGAGATTTTCTCATACAGTTGGGGAAATCTGATCTTCTATCATGCTCCCGCAAGATGGTGCTCCTGATTAGTATATCAATCTTGGGTCGATACAAAGAATGGTTTACAAGCGAGAAACTTCGTGAGTAGGGCAAGAGTAAATCGCTGCTACTGTTATGATTGCTGTTGTTGTGAGGGCATAGGCGTTCCCTTCGTTCTCCTTAAGTCCGCCCTTCATTCTCCTTAAGTCCACCGACTATTGGCAGATCAGCGAAGGCTACCGTGGTGAGGAAGATGAGGATTGGACGTGGAGCCTCTTAGGAATGTGGCTGCAGCGGCGTTGGTCGCTGGCCGAAGACAAAGGCGAAACTTCACTTTTCTCAGCGACGTTGGTCGCTGGCAATGGCAAAAGCGAAGCTTCGCTTTTCTCAAGATAAGAACAATTACTGAAGAAGCTTTATTGAAGAAGTGAAGAAGCTTTATTGAAGAAATGAAAAATACTTTTAATATATTAACATGTTCCCTCTCTTATTTATATAAATTAGGAAAAAAAATTTCCCTTAACATAATAGAGGATTTTTCTCAACAAAATATAGAGAGATTTCCTCATTTAGTTAGGGAAAAACGATCAAGAAAACCAGAAAAATCGATCTTCACACAAGAAAGTCGACAACCAAGAATCGATTAAAAGAACCCCAAGACCAACAAAAATTTTGAACCCAAATCAAAATTTCGACGGATGAAGAACCAAGCGAAACGAAACGAAACAAGAGAAAAAAGAAAGGAATGAGATCACCGCAATAAAAATCGAAGGAAAGGACCCTCACAGCTGTGCCCGTTCGTGTTCGTCGGAGAGCAGTTCCGACCTTCGCAGAACGACGAGATCGCCGAGAGCCGAGAGCCGAGAGCCGATAGCCAAGAGCGCGCGAGGGGAGAGATAGTTGTGATTGCAACAGAGTGGGCCCTCGAGTTATATAGATGCCACCCAGCCCAAGCGTTACATTCTAAAATCGTTCCGTTATATTTACCCAATCTACGTAGCGGATAGTTTGACATCACACCGTTATATACAGCTATCATCTACGTTAAATTTTGTGTACCTTATTCTTTTAAAATTTGTATATTAAAGAAACAAGACGTGGCATTTTTTTTTGTACGAAGCAATGTTTTTAAACTATTAAAATTATTATTAATATAATGAGATTTGATATTCTTTTATTTGTCACTAAAAAAGAAAATTTTTATTTCGGATTTTTTTAATTTTTAAATAATATCTATAAACTGATAATATTTTTATTAATACACTAGGTTTTGAGTCTCAAATAATAATATATCTTATTTTTAATGTTAAATTTAATACAATTTTCCTTCACATAAATTATGCATCTAATTAATCCAACAAAGATCAATGAACAATTAGACAAAACTAGAAGTAAATGCTGACCATTCTCAATTTAGATGATAAATAGTTAAATGCTTGAATTATTAAGAAAAATATGACAATTAATCAGTTTTAATCATATTAATTTATTATTGTAATTCTAACCAAAATTCATTGAAATTTCATCTTAAATTGTTGGATAATCATAGAGTTAGTTATTATTGTAATTCTAATCTCAATATTCAATCTATCTTATCTTTGCGAACACAAATCGATATTATCTTTCTTATGAGCATAATCACAGAGTTAGTTAACTAGCCTCTCTTACCATACCAAGTAGCAAAACAAAATAATAATAATAATATTTTTAAAAAATAAAGAGGAGGAATTATATTGAAATATGAATTAATAAACTATAGCCATTTACAATTCTATTTATAGAGCCTAAAAAGTATCCCAAATGTCACATTTAACTGATATTGTTGTAAGAGACATATCCTTTCATTAAAATATCTTTTATGCGTATCAAGATTATCTTTACATAATTTTAATTTTTAAAATATAATACTAATAAAATTATATTTATTTATAAGATAAGATCATTAGAAAAACTTTTTATTTTTTTCTTTTTACCTAGAAAAGAATGACTTCAGGATTATGTAAAAGACTGAGATACTTTTCTCTCCCTTTATCAAAAGAAAAATGTAAAAATATCTATAAATCAAATGCGACTATAATGATATATTAAATAATAAAATAATACTTTTAATTAATATCTTAATAAATATAGTATGAATTATTAAAAATATAATAGTACTATCAAAAAATAATCATATAGGTTGTTGTTATTAGATATCAATTTAATTTATCCTTAAGTCATTTTTGCTATTTTTGACACAATTTTGATTAAAACGTGTTATAATTGATAAAAGAGCAAAAATATTAAATTAAATTTATAAGTTATGAAATCCATAAAGTAGATTAGAAAATATTTATAAAGAGTATAAAAGAGTTTATAAAAGGTAGAACCAAAATATATGAGATACATTATTCTTAAAATAGATTCCACTACTTCATAAATTTATAAAATTATTATAATTTTATTTAGCTAAGGTGATTGAACTCCAAATCAAAAACATTCTACATGAAACCTTTATAAATATTTTGTAGATTGTTTCAGTTTTCAAATCTTTGATAAAAATTTATTATTTTTTTACCTTTTCATC